CATATATATATATATATATATATTGCTTGATAAAATAGAATCTCATCGTCAATATGTGTCTATATATATATTTGAGATTGATTTAATTTAAATTAGTAAATAAAAAATAAATAATGGTAGCCCCTTCGTCGCCGGCAGCCGAACGGCAGCCGAACGCCGGCGTGCGGACCGTTCACGGGTTAAAGTTAAGCGTGCAACTGGTTTTACTTTTTGGTTTTGTTTTTGCAAGATTTACATATAAACATTTCCTTGTGCTTATATAAAATTAAATTTAAAATCTGTTCGTTTATAATATAAATGCAATTGTAATTTTTTAAATTTAAATTTTATCAAGTATAAGTTATACATTTACATTCTATAGAATTTTAATTAAAGACGACGATAACAACAATAAGTCAAGTGCGGCGGCGTTTTTTAAAATGATGTCAACCGTTTGGTATGCACGTTTTTAAAAATGCTGGCTGCTGTGTTTGAGTTTTTTACACTAAATATTTGCTGCTGGTCGACTCCCGTGAGTCGTGTCAACTTATCCTGAAACACACAAGTTGCCCCAAATAGACCCTAAGTGTGGTCAGCGACGTGAAACCTTTTTCACCATTGTGTCCTATGGAGTGTCGTATTTTCATTTAATTCTAATAAATTAAGATCATTTTTTTACAATATACCCGGGTCTTTTTAGATATGCCTCTGCCTGTCTTAAAACATAGAAAAAAAATACATAAAAACTTACAGATTCACTATTTCGTGTTGATCACGATCCCACTATCATGATCGGCTCTATCCAACACATATCACACACTTATAGGATAGACCCGGCTAAGAAAAAAAAGCATAGTCTAGGAGTCAGTCATGATGATTGAGGATTGGCTCGTCACGCTAGACTTGAAAGCTCCAAACACTGCTTGCTTTCACCTGTCATATAATGGTGGTTATAAGAGTGCATGTAGTCTAGGATTCCCCTCTAGGATAAACAACATAGATGCACTCACATTACACTCAATTGACTATAACTAGGTTTTTTATGGTGTCTACCTTTGGGAAAATTTTTCCATACGGAGTGCAGCCGCAGCTCTGCAGGCGGACTGCAGTAGTATGCTGCCACGTGTGCTATATCGGGCCCACCTTATAAAATATTTAAAAAATGAATTTTGTAACGCTTGACTCGGATCAGACCTTTTCGAAGTAGAACCACAGAAGTTATTGGAGTGAATCGTCATGTGGTATTATTGGGGGATCATTTCGATGTTATTGAAGTGGTTATTGGAATTGTTCTCGAGGGTTATTGAAGCGGGATTACGGTGTTATTGGATTAGTTCTTCTCGCGATGTTATTAAAGGGTTATTGTGTGTTATTGGAGACTTATAGGAGTTGTTCTGCGGGGGTTACTGAAGTGGAACCGCGGATGTTATTGAAGCGGTTCTGCTTCATCGCGCAATGTTATTAGAGGGTTATTATTGCGTTATAGGAGTTAATACCCCAATAACCCCAAAATAACACTGAATTTGATATATTAGAACTGAACCATCAACTTCAAGAATATGTCATGTTATTTGAACACTTCAACGATACTTTTTAGAAATCATTGATAAAATTACAAAACATATGAAAGAATTTCATATATGTTTGAGACAACACAAATTTACACATATCATAGACTATTTCTGCTTTAAATTTGAGCATATCTTCATGTCATCATAATTTATTATTTGAATTGCCTCTATCTATTTGTACTAGTATTTCTTTATATTTACATACGAATATTTCCCTCCTGTTTTATTTATTGTTTATTCTAATTTATCAAGTTCATACTTTAAGTCTGTCACTTTGTTATCTAAATTGGTAAAACGAGTATTTACTGGTCCTTGAAAGTCAAAAATAACTTTTTTTGTTGATGTCTAAGTATTTCGAATATTTCTTCTAGTCCAATATTACTGCTGTATGTGTATGCGTTGGCTGAGGGTTGCTTTGAATGGGAACTAGAGGATTAACCTCAAAAAAATCTGGTGCCTGTAGCGTGGAGCGAGTTTCATGTTGTGGGTTGATCTTGATAGGACTAGATGGTCCTTCAAATGGAATGCGGAGTAAATGATGCTCATCATCTTTCAAATCTACAGAAAAATCATAAACCTATAAATAATTTCAGACAAACAACGTCACACCCTAATAACAACACATTTGCACATGAAGGAAACCAAAATAACACCACAATAACCCAAGAATAACATCAAAATAGTTTAAAACTAACAACAAAATTCAAACCATTGAACACAACAATAAATAAAACATAACATTAGGAATTACACCACAATAACTTCATATATATGCAAGAATAACTCTAGAATATCTCCAGAATAACACCTCAGTAAATGCAAAAACATAAATCTCTTAGTAACAATAAAATAACAAGGCAATAACACTTAAATAATATCATCATAACACCTATAAGACAGTACCATTAACCAGAATAAAAACACCTCTGTTAAAGCTACTGTCTTGTAGGTGTTGTGATGGTATTATTTAAGTGTTATATGTTTCAAACATAGAAGAAAGTATTTTATATGTTTTGTAATTTTATAAATGATTTCTAAAAGTATCGTTAAAGTATGTTCAAATAGCATAGCATATTCTTTAAGTTGATGTTTCAGTTCAAATCTATTAAATTCGGTGTTATTTCGGAGTTATTGGGTATTATTTTGGAGTTATTAGGGTATTAACTCCAATAACACCGCAATAATCCTCAATAACTTTCACAGTTTCACTTCAATAACTCCCGCAAAACAACTTCAATAAGTCTTCAATAAAACCACAATAACCCTTCAATAACTCTTCAATAACCCCCACCCCCCC